ACAGTAGATTCGAGTCATAATGCAGTTTATGGAGAATATAATTATTTAAATAATTTTCAAACAAAATATTATTTACAAATTTATTAATAATATTTAAGCTTGAAAAAAAGCTTAAATATTATTTTACATAAAAATTTCTCCAAAAAAAAATTTGCTTAAAATTATTATTTTAGTTATATGTAATATTGAAATTATATTTTATAATTTCAACTTTTGCATTTATATATGTATATGTATATATTCTGTATTATTCTCATGGAAAATAAATTTGTAAATAATATTTTGTTTGAAAATTATTAATGCGAAAGCATTAATGATTGGCAACGTTTACTTCTAAACTGTTTATCGAAATGTAATTCGCAAAGCACTCCACAACATAGTTCCACGGAACAGGTTACTATTCCGTGACGTTTCCAATCGCTTGAAAGAACACTTTGACGCCAGTAACTCGTGCGAGGCAACACATACGGTGAGACTAGGAATTTCAAAGTTTCCTAATTTACGGCTTGCCCCTATAACCACTCTAGGTATGTTAGAGTCCCTTTAAATACTATGTATAATTAGCCAGCATCTCTTGCTTCTCTTCGCTTATGCGGGAGATCAAAGATCGACTTAGTCAAATGTCTAGAAACTTTAGTAATTTGTGGATATATAAATGCGGTTTGATTTTCTCACATTTGTGTTTATCTGCCTTTTTGATGAAGTCAATTTTTGAAATGTATTTGTCTTTTAATATTATAACAGGGAATACCAGGCGAGAGAGTAAATAGACCTGATATTTCCACTTGGATTCTCCCTCTGTATCGCAAACGCGTTTCTTATTATAATATATTTGCGATTGTATCGATCCGAACGGGCTGTAGAAGGATACGCGTGAATCCTTACGTAGAACGATTTTCCGGTTAGGCGTACTCTATTTCTCCTTTATGACGCATTCGGCGTAATGTGTAATATCTTTTTCTATTACGTGTCTGACATAAAACTACCTGGATGCAATCCGTGGTAATACCGGCACGAGCGAAACGCAATACATATGCTAACGATATATCGTCGCGCGATTTATGGACAAGCGATACAAGATGTTCCGCTTGAACCGAAGGTACCATCCAAGTGCGTTTCGATAGACGGTGGAATATGGTCGTTCGGAAAACGGGGGATTTCGATCAACGAGGGAATACATAATTAGACGGCCGACATTGTACGACTCGCGCTGTTATCGATGAGATTCTGTTGTCGACTATTCTAAGCACCTCTTTGTTTGGGTTTACTTATTTCATTCACGTCATCTGAACATTTTTTTTGTTATTACATAATAGTGAAGGTGCTTTCAGAAATCCGTTGTTAAGACTTTTATTTTTTATCAATGGTGTCAAATTGTCTTCTTTGCTTGATCTTGAAATTTGAAAGTCGATTGAAAATCATTAATGATATATAGAGAGATATATTAGATATATAAAGAGATCAGATTATGAACAAGAGATACAAAATGTTCCGCTTGAACCGAAGGTACCATCCAAGTGCGTCTCGATAGACGGTGGAGTATGGTCGTTCGGATGGAAAACGGGGGATTTCGATCAACGAGGGAATACATAATTAGACGGCCAACATTGTACGACTCGCACATTATAGTATCGTTAAATTGTCAAAGGAAATCATATTATAGATTGATCTTAAAATCGCAAAGATGTAAAAGAAATTCTTTTTTCAATGGGAAATCTATTTTTTATAATACGTATGTTTGATGATATATTTGACAATTTAGCTTGTAATTTCTGAAAAATAATGTAAAATCTTTGCCGGAAATAATTTGTAGGCTAAATTGAAGTCGTTTCCACATGAGTAACACATGAATACAAATAATGTTGAAAATAATGCTAAAAAAATTTTTTAATTATACAGAAAGAAATACTATTTCATCTAATTAAATATATATGATAAAACAATTGCATTAGCCTTAATGATAAAATATATAATATGTATACATATATATCATATACACCGAAGACATATTGTTAATGTGTGCTTTTCAACAATTTGAAATATTTTTTAAAGATACATTTTGCATTAATAAGTAATTTACTTTGGATAAAGCAAAACAATGAATAAATAATAATTGTATTTTGTTTGTTATATCACAAAGAAAAAATAATTTTCTCTAAAGATATGTTGCAAGAGCTCGAGTTTCACTTTTCTTCATATGAAAATTATTTTAATTAAAATGTTACTTTATGAAATTTAAAATAAGGGAAAAAATACATACGTAAACAATACTTATGCGTGCCTGCTAATTTCACTCCTATGTAAACGTTTGTAGAATGTTGTGTAGACTTGCTCTGTTGGTTGTATAGCAATGCTATCCGCATACAACTCCAATTTGCATTGCTAATATAAATATCAAGCTTGAAACACACAAGATAACCTCGCAGATTCCAGCATTCACCAAAGCCTGAGCTAGAGCAGTTGCTGATTACGTTCTTAATTGGCGGTTTCTTATCTGTGTGTTTCTCATTTTCGCGTTGTTTCACGCATTCATGGATCACTGAAAATGCCTGATCTTATTCTCATTTTAATTTTAAGACAATTAAAATGGGATTGTAATTACGGGAAAAGTTTTCCGTGTTATTTTCCATGAGCAATGTTTACAACGTGGAATCAGAGATGCTTGAAGCTTAATTCACCGCTTAAAGTTTTAAAACGGAATTTTTTCGTCAGACACGAGATATGCAATTTATCTTGGAGAATGCTTCGGTTTTTTTCTCGTCGACACCTGTCTGGAACTTTCCAAAATTTCTCGCGCCAACTAAAGTTTAAAGCGAAGTATGCCGTGAGTGTCTCTTAAGCATTTTTCTTTTTTTTTCTTTTTAACCTATGCTAGAACTATCAAGCGGAAAATCTTCGGCAAGTACCGACGTGTTAGCCGTGCAAATAAAATTTACCACCCAAGTTTGCGGTCGAATTTATATAGTACGCGATAAGTTTCCGAGTTTATCATAGTGTGCATCTTTTAATAGGCTCGAGTAATGGTTTAACATTACGGTTCAGTATTACGGAGAAGACGTAGTTAAGAACCCCTAAACCCTTTAAGTTTTAGAATAATTCTGTTATCATTTCTATGATGACACGGAAGTATAATTATACATAAAAGATTAATGATTATTAAATTAAGTTTAATTACATATATAGAGGAAGCATATATAAAAATTTTAATTTCTTATTTCTAAATTTTCTTTTACAGTTTATGAATTAAACCGAATAAGACAAGCTCGTAACTTAAACGTAATTATATTTTACTTTCAACACACAGAATGTAATGTGAAAAAATTACTTGGATATTTTACATAGAATTTCTCAAGAATGAATTAAAAATGTAACAAAAGTTATATTACAAAGATGCAAATCAGATTATCAAATATACTCGAATATTATGGGGTAGAGCTATTTAGATCATTAGATAATACAAAATTTAAGCATCATCGATTAAGTCATTCCCAAGTACTGCAGTCAGGGACACTTTCCAATTGCAGTCGGCTAAGTTAGCGGAAGTTATGCCACGCTGCGCTCCAACTACCATGGATGAAAATTCGCCCAGGGGTATTATGGCGTTGGTGTCACGGGGTCGACAGACACCGGAGAACTAACCCACTGTAATTCCCCAGATGATTTTAATCCGTTGTCACTTAAATCATTCCTTATTAGAAGTTTTGTCGCATTCGAACATTTCATTTAACTTGTTCTAAAGGCAGTTAAAGACTGGCATTACTCTTAATTAGACTTTTGGAATAAATTTCCTAAGTTGATTGTTATGCGAATCTTTTGGAAATACCTAGAGTTGTTAATAAAAAAATAAATAATTTACATACACATATTTTATATTAAGGCTGATGCAATTTGTGCTTACAATATAACTTTTTTTTTATTTGCAACATGTAGAGTTGGAAATATGTAACATTACATACGTATAATAGGCGTACATCAAAGCTTACAGGTGCAGTATGCTAATGTAAATTTTCAATTCAAATAATTTGCTACTGAATTGCTTTTAGTTACTCAATTGCAGACATTACTTAGTGTAAAACAATTCAATTTCGAAAAGGTGAAAAATTATATTACGCCATGTGCTCGCACAATGGTAATCGCGATTGTAACTTTACTATAAATGTAAATTTAGTAAATAGATGAAACAATGCCAAGCATATTATTAGATTATTTATTTTATAATCATAAAAATTCTTTGATCTTTGAAACACAAATTAACAATTAACATTTTATAATTTATCTTTAAAAATATTCAATAATAGAGAACTCTATTTATAACAGAACTCTCTATTTAATTATATCGCATTTATTATTTAAATGCTGTCAGTGCTTTTCTTTTCTAATTTTATTTTTGTTCTGAGTTTGTTTTGATTTTATACGTTTATTTAAATAGAGGCAGAAAGGATAATGTATTTATAAATATATCACTAAATAATCAAGATAAATCACATTTAGAATTAAAATTAATATATATAATGTGCATCAAATACAAAAAAAATTAAATTTTATACTGTAATTAAGTTTCATTAACTTTTTTATCTAGATAAAAAAAATTTCAAGGATTAAAAATAAAAAGTGTGTTTCTCTCAGATAAATATTTAAGGTGGATGATTTTAATATCACGAATCTCGTATAATCTACAATCGTAATATTATAATTGAAAATAGTAAATTTCTGTAATAATATATACAAAAAATTATTTTAATTTATTAGAGAATATCTGAGTTTAAATTTTTCTAACTACTGTGTACCATATATATTTTTACTCAATATTGATTGACTCACAAATTTTAACATTCGATTTACATATTTTTCAAATGTTTCCGGATCTGTATTTATTCTATTGAGTTTCGCGAGTTACGTAGAAAAACATTACAAGACGGAAGAGAAACTTTCCAGAAACTAAAGTTTCCTATAAAAAAAACGAGTATCGGCTACAAAAGAAATTTTACAATTACACTTACCCTCATGGTCGAAGTCTCACATGGTCCCACCGACGCTGAAAAACACCTTCAGCCTGCAGTGGGTTTGAGTCTGTCACCCATCCGCCATACTCCGCTGTTGCTCGGAAAAACAACCAATGGGCGTCACTTGTTTTTGCACGAGACAATTCTCACACCCGGCTCCTACCCCTTTAATCTTTAATACCGCAATACTCGATACAAATTCCTCTAGTAACTAGTACGTCCGAATTTCACGTGTAGAGTTTACATCCAAACTTTACGAACGTTCGTTAAATTTTTATTTGATATCCCGCAAATCGGAGTAATTATTAAAATATGTTGACAGACAAATTAAGTATAAGTTAATCGAACGAGTTCACAGATGGATAATAATAATACAAAGCAGCTGTGAAAAAATTTGCGGACGGTTCAAAATTTTCATACAGTTTCGAAAACTCGTTTTTCTTTGCGATGCGCTCGTAGAGATTTACGAAAGAATATGATCTGTCGAAAGCTCAAACGCAAACTCGGAGATCTGCCGGAAACGTGGTCCGCGAAAACTCTCGCGCAGCATCGAACCGAGGGAACGAACAACCGGGTTGATGCGAGGTCGTGGCCCGGCAGCCGGCGACTGGCTGCTGCTAGAAAGCTCGCAAGCTCGAGCCAGTCGGCCTGGCTAGGCGCAAGCTCCCTACTACGCGGCCTCGAAACACCCAAGCGAGCACAACGCCGCGCATCTATCGCCCACCCTTCGTGAGAGAGAGTTTCTTCTAGCGAGTCGCATCACCGAGGAAAACGCTGCCAGATATTTGGCAGCTTGCGGCGCCTTAAAGTTGCGCAGGGTGCATTCGATTTCTGTCTTTTTTATGACATTGATGGACGACAGAAATAGAAACTTTTTGAAATTCCATGTTATTCTGGTGGGAAAATGTGTAAATTTTCATATTACAAACGTACAAAAATCGTCTTTATTTATTAGAATTGTTGTAAAATATATTTTGTAGTATTTATCTGCTATGTGAAGTGAAATTTTTTACAACTGGAACAGTTTTTATCTTCGGTATTTTATGACGAACATTAAGTTTTGATTTTTAACGATATTGGCGCAATATCTTTTTCTCTAATTAAAAAAAGAAGTGGATTGAATTTTTCTTAAACTTTTTTTGCGTTATGCTTACAGAATGAATTACTTTGATTTTGAATTACTTTGATGAAGTGCCGATTCCGCACGGATGAACCGAGTTTAATCCGTCGCGAATCGCCGTTAATCGCGAAAGCTGATATCGATATTAATAGCAGCGTGGATATAATGCTACATTCGTCGGTGTTTCAATGATTAATCGATAATGAATTACTCCGCCGTTTCCGGCTGCAAGCGTATATTAGTCGATTTTATGCACCATTTCTTTTAATTACGTAAAATGGAAATAAATTATTTTGATCAAATATTTTCTTGCGTAAACTTCAGCAATAATTTCGTGCACATAAATGCTTACTTTTTAAAAGATAAAATTCTAATGGCGAATGCCAAACAAACAAGATAATAATAATACAAGAATTGTTATTTAAGTATACTTTAAGAGATCAGTTTGTAGTACACTTTACTTTATCGCAATAGCTTGCAAGTTTCAAATTATCGATAGCATAGTATTTTTCGATGACGAAAAGTCGTTCTTATATAAATGTATAAAAATATTAATCGTAAAAAAATAAAAGATTCAACGGCTACTAGACAGCTTATATCTATACTTCAATTTATACGTTATTGATATCTTTTACGATACGCGCTTATATATGTATATATATTTTGCAGTGGCATTTGTGTGGTGTAAGGTTTACGACGAGCGTAAAAAGTTTTATCACGTCGATCGCGTTAGCCCGCGAGGGAAATGTGTCTTTAATGCGTGAAAAAAGGTGGAACTGATAGGGAAAGAAGGAAAAATATATGTCGACAAATTTTCATTAATTATTCTGGACGAACCATAACGAAAATGCCACTATGTCGGAGCATAGTTTGCGAGAAGCTCGCACTCGTGGCCAACCTGGAGCACAATTGTGGCATTGCGGACGGCCACAAAGTGCTTTGATAGCGTAAACGCGAAGCTGTGCAAGCTGGTTCATATGGGTGAGGAAGGGACTTGCACGGACATCACTTTTACTTTGCGCGTTTTAATTAATTCCGCGTACAAAAACGAATTCCAGGGGCGTGCTAGCACGAGGCGGCCATCCGCGAAAACCCTTTGTATGCGTATTTTTGAAAGCTCCCTGTTTTGATCGAAGAATTATTTCAAATGACAATTATGTCTGCAATCGATGAAACGGTAATGATCAAAGCAACGATTTATGTTGCGTTAGATTTGCTGCAAACAATTTTGAATACATTTTACATTTGGATACACATATCTTATCATAAGTATAAACAATTTTATGAATTGATAGAGAAGTGCTTTGTTTAATATAAATTTTATTTGTACGGCAAAGAAAAGTATTTTTGAAAGCTCTCTGTTTTGATCGAGGAATTATTTCGAATGACAATTGTGCCTGTAATCGATGAAACGGTAATGATCAAAGCAACGATTTATGTTGCGTTAGATTTGCTGCAAAAGAATTTGGATACATTTTACATTTAGATACACATATTTTAATATAAGTAAAAAGAATTTTATGAATTGATAGAAAAGTGCTTTGTTTAATATAAATTTTACTTATACGGCAAAGAAAAGTAGTAGAAAGATAAGTTTAAATATTATCTGCATATAATATAGATTTTTTTCTATTTTAATACACCTTACAATGCTAAAAATTTTTCTCTGAAAGAGAATTTGATGAATTAACGGTTCTCTCACTTTTGAAACAAAAAACTATTCTGAAAATATTTGAAAACAGATTTTTTTGAAAGACAGAGAAAAAACTTTGTCAAATTTTGTTAACAATTTTTATAAATTTAGTTTAATTTAATTTGATATATTTTTAATTTTTTTTCTATGTTAAATATTTAATATTAAAAATAAATATTAACTGTAAAATTTCAATTTTTTTTATATTAAAACTCACAAAGCTGTGTTAAACAAGGCTTCCAATAAATTTTTGTCATACAAAGATTGACTAAAATTTTTTAAAAAATATATAATTTTTTTGTATTAGATTCTTAACATGTATAATGCAAGATATTTAACTTTAATTAGCGAAATAGAGATAAATTTTACACTCACCGATACAACAGTTGACAGGATAATTCAGATAAACGTAAAGATGCACGTATTTTTAAACTTTTAATACGAGGCACAAGAATGCTGTAGATATTTCAATAAACAAATAGAAAGATCGCTCGCACTTGTTTGATTGTCAAATAGGATAATGCAAAATAATGATCAATCAAATGGTCCTCGTGTAAAGCTGTGTAATGATTATTTTTGCTCACACGTGCTCACACAGTTCGGCAAAAACGCGATGTACTTTTAATTAAAGCGCAAATGCGAAACAGCTCCTTTCACACGCGTTTTATTATGAGAGATCGTCGAATTGCCGAATGCGTTGTAATTTTGCTTACATTGCGTTTGCCACTCTAGCGATAACCCTTTGCTGCGTTTGCCTCTTTGTGTATACGTGTGTATGTATCTCGAACATATATTATCCTGCCAGTTTACGCGACCTGAGGCAAGTGTCGTTACACGCGGGATTCGTGTTCCTTTCTCTCTCTCTCTCTCTCTATACATGTATGTTCTCTCTCTTTTTCTGTCTCTCTTTCGCTCTCCTTTCTCTCTCTCACTACATGTAAATCGATATCACGCATCAGTTAGTCGCTAAAACGACGCTTGTCACGATTATTGCTACTGTCGCGGCTTAAATCACATATATCGTTTTCGATATATATTTATATATAAATTATGTTCTATTCTTGCGAAGATAATATGGTAAATTATTATAGAATTTTGAAGAAATTAAATTATGCACGCATATTTCGATCTTTGACAAACATCAGTTTAAGCGTAAAGAAATAAGTTCCCAAAGTTAGATGTTTATTATTCTATTGTTCAATTTTTTATCTTGGAAGCACTTTGTTTAAAAATTTCTGTTCTTTAAAGTTACAGTAGTTTTAAATTGTATCAAATACATGAATTAAATTGCACGAAATTATATTTTTTATTGTGATTTTATTGGTTTTTATAGCATTATTATTCATTCCACATTACAAGACCAAGTATTCAATCATTTTGTTAAAAGTTAACCAACTTCTGATAATAAAAATGTGTCAATTTTTTTACGCTTATTTTCTTAAAATACTCGAAATGTATTTCATAAGTCTCTGACATCTACAAAGTGTGTGTGTGATTAATAACATGTGAAAATATAATGCTATATTTAATAATTAAACATCAATTAGTGTACATTGGAGTAACGAGAGAAACAATAATATGAAATAATCATTTGTAATGCATTATCAGATCCCGAAATCTTTTAACACAATTGGTATTATCTGGAAATTCTGGACATTAGAATCGCATCAATTACATTAATCGGCGCTCGGATTTTTGGGCTAATTAGGGTGCCGCGATTAATCATCCGGACAAGCTTCACGAAACTAAGGGGTAGCTTCATCGATGTTCCTCCTCGGAAGGACTTTCAGTCTTCCAAGATCTATTAATCTGTCTCGGATAAATTCCAGTGTTCGCGACACAACAACTCTAAACGATGTCTTTGATTATCGTGTAGACCTTCAGATCGACAAGTTGCGCTTTAGTCACAAGTTTGTATTGAATGAAATCTCGTTCTTTCTCTATGTTTTGTTCAACTTTCATAATTACTAGAATTCCGTGCTCGGAAAAACTAGCAACAAACGCAAAATATCCGCCCCGTGTATATTAGTTATGAATTCGTTTAACGTAAAGCTCAAATGACGAAACGAAATGACCAAACGAAACTACCAGAAACGCAAAGAAAAAAAGGAAATAGCTCAACCCCCGACAATGCGACTTAAATATTCAAATTACGACATTCGAATGCAGATGAGACCACAAAAAAAAATTCGCGAGAAAAACCGGGGGATGTAGTTCTTCTCGCATTTTGTGCGTGTACACACGCATATAGCTACATGTAGGTCTCTGGATGACATCCAACTAAATTTTTATTCAAATGGTTATTTCAGCGAAACTTCTTCTTCTCTTGTATCCTTCTCTTTCTCTCTTTCTCTCTTTCTGCTCTTTTACAAATATTTTATTTAGTATCTCTTAATCACTTGTCACAAAAGTATGTTGCGATTCAATTTAACGATTGCATATAACATGAGCGATGTTTTTAAACATGTGTGCGCGGTTTTTTTCAAACATACATAAATCAAAGCTTTGTAATAATATATATTGTTCCCCAATAAACTGTTTTTGCATCACGCAATAATAAACAATATCGCGAAATTTTGCTTGAAATTATTGTTGCAAACAAATCGATTAATCGACTTGATAACGGAATCCATCAAATGGGAATTATATTATAGATATTTTAATGAAATATAATATTTTATATAAAATAAACAAAAAACGACGAATAAAAAAAAAATTTTGCGTACATTTCGAGATTGTTCGAAAATGTAAACTTGATACAACAACGTCAACGCAGCAACAGGCGTTTCCCTCGCTTGACGTAGAACGAGCTATACCGTCATTAA